TTACTGACCAGCTTGTCGCCTGAGCCTGACGTGGGCTGAGAGAGAGTGACTGATCAAAGTCACCCAGCCGGCTTCCAAGACTGAGGCAGGACTGGAACTCATAGTCTCCTGGCTTCTAGCCTGGAGCCTTAACCACTAGACCAAACTGGCTCTAATAAATAAATAATAAATGAATAAAATAAAATCTAAAAATTGCCTGTAAAAGATGCTCAAAAGAAATTACTAATGTTGGAGATCTAGAAAGGAAAAGGCCTTCGCTGTTAGAATTATTGAGGGGAGGGTTACCCTCCAATACAAATAACTCTTCAAGTGGAATTTTTGTTAAAATAATGACAAGTGCCCCCCACCTGCAGGGGCATGGAGCGGGGGGGGGGGATTTCAAGATGGTGGCTGCAATTATGCAACTGAATCCCTGTCTTTTAAATGTGCATCACACACATGTGCATCATACATGTGATGTGTGTAGAAAAAGGGCAGGGCTTCGATCATGTGGATATTTTGACTTTTTACATCCCACCTGCAAACATCCCTGCCACACTTCTGATCTCACTCTAGCTTTCTTGTGGCAACTATTTGCATTTAAAAATGCAATAGTACATTTATCACAGTTAGCTTCTTTCCCAGATAACATAGCTAAGTCCACATTTCCTCATGTTGCATAATCTATTTATTACCATAAACATTTAAGTCACAGATGCCTTACAAGGAAGGAGTAAAACATTAAACACTGCATGGGAATAAATAAGATATGCAAAGAGGGTGGAAAGACCAATCTTAGCTCTCTTGGTCAAAGCTGTTCTGGATGACATCGGAACGATCCTTATGGGCTTTTGTTTGTGGGCTCTCTCTTTTTTTAAACTAAAGCTTAATTAAATTAAAGCGGTGGATATATTTAAAAACCATGTGGTAGCTGTGAAATAAAGATAGGAATATCAGTAGAACTTCAGTACAGTGTTATTATCTACAATGAAAGTGAATTATAATATTCTGATAAAAGGGCTAAGAAGACTTATGAAAAAGCCCTCAAAGAGGCTGGTTTCCCAGTAGGTTGTTTGGTTAACAACTGTGCAGAATATTTGCAATAGCTGCCAATTTAAGAAGGCTGAACTGAGGAAAGTCACCTTGAATTTTATAACTATGTTACTTTGAAATCTCTGGAAAAAGAAAAAGAAAAGCTGCTGGAGATAAAATATAACTTGAAGGCATTTAAAATATACTGTTCCAAAAACTATAAACTGTTGTTCCAGTAACTGTGTTGAACAAAACCAAAATCACTGTTTCTGAAGCTTGATGTCCTCCCTTTTCACTGCACGAGGTGGGTAGGTAGCTCAGCTGGGGGAAGTAATCTGTCAGTTTGGTGTGAGGTGTGATCAGTGTGCTGGCATACTCAGTTGAACAACACTACCCTACACCAGGTCAGGGTGTTGTTGACATTGCACAACCAGTGTTCTCTTAGGAGATATGCCATCAGGAACACCATTAGATATGTCTTCTAATTCATTGTTGACAGTAATTAAAACAGATTTCCCATGCTTCCATTTCTTTATTAAAATGAAACTTTGAACCAGTCTGTCCCAGAGGAGCTGCTGATGGATTGATTTTTTTTCAGTTTCAACCCCGACAGGTCTTTCATCAGATAGAAGGCATGACTATTCCTCCTCCCCCCCACACACACACAATGACTGGAACCACCTGATCAGGCAGGAGTAGAACCTCTGCCAAACAGTGCTTCCAATCCCCAACCCTCACAGATCATCCAGTAGGGTATTATGGTCAACATTTGTAAGAGCAGTACTGTACCACAAAGTCAGGCAGCAGCAGCAGGAGGAGACTGCAAATGAACTGGTTCTCTTTGCATAGGATGCTGCTGTGGGCATGGCAATGCCCATTGGGTTCAGGCTGTAGCACTATTAGGACCAAGACGGAAAATAATATATCCATCAGCAGTTCCTCTGGCACAGACTGGTTGAAAGCTTTGCTTCTGAAAAAAATAGAAGCATGGGAAAATGTTGTTCTCATTACTTCCAACAATGAATTAGAGGAGATATTTCACACTGACTGTGAAATCAACACTGCTTTCAGCACTAGGTTCCATTCCATCTTTAGATAGGAGGACATCTTGTCTAGCCTCCCTCCTCTGGATAAACAGAGCAGATTTTTGCCTTTTGAAAAAAAATGTTGAAACAATCCAGAATAAGCTTTCTCCTTATTTTTCTCCATAGAAAAATATGTCTGTGTTCATTTTCTAGGATAGTGCAGCAATAGCAGTGAAGCTTTTAAAATGTGTTGCATTTTTAAACAAAGATTAATCAAGCAAGAAAACTGCTTTGTCTGTTCTAAAGCGTAACATTCAACATCCGTCTCGAAGATAATTTGTTAAAATTGCTTGAAATTCTTTGCTAACTCAACAAACTGGAGAGATGAAAACAATATTCTTTAAATAAAAATGTTGATGGTTGTTCTTCCATTCTGAATATTTCTGCAGTTAGTTTGAACTGAAAACTAAATATACAAAAAAATAATAATTAGAAAACTTTGTTTTCTCTCTTTTAGGGAAAGGGCATTCCTGGACCTCCTGTAAGTAGATTTTTTTCCCTCTTTTTGTGCCTTCAAATCAGTCTTAACACCCTGCAACGGTCTCAACAAGCCCCTGCAGTTTTCTTGGCAACATTTCCAGAAGTGGTTGGCCATTGCTTTCTTGCCAGGGCTGAGAAAAAGTGACAGGGTCAAAGGTATCCAGCTGGCTTTATGCCTAAGGCAGAACTAGAATCACAGTTTCTCAGGTTCTAGCCTGGTGTCTTTAACCACTACTGTACGCTCAACTGACTCTCAAGTAGAATGTAATCAACCATCAATAATTAAATGCACTGCCAGACAAAATATTACAAGAGGTTTTTTAAACTACAGTCATATTTTTTAGTGTTATTTCTACCTTTGGATTGGCTGTCGCAGCCTGGTGTTTTGCAGATGGGTGGGATTACAAACCTCATCACCCTCAGCTCATACAGCCAATGGCCATGCCAGCTAGAAAGGATGAGGGTTGTCATGGAACCTCTCTGGAATACACTAAGTTGGGTCAAATGGGGTATTATTAAACTCTTCTGTTTAAGAAAAACCCATTCATTCCTTGCACTAGGCTGGCTTTCAAAGTAGGGGTGGTCAGCCCTTGGGTCGCATGCAACCCCCCTGCATTCTTTTTATGGTTCAAGCTTTTTGCATATTTGGGGAGGGTGTTTTTTAAAGAGATGAAATAATGCCTTAAGCCTTGCCCAAGTTTAAGACACCCATTTCGCTCTTTAAAAAAGCAATACTCCCAAACGTTGGGCGTTTCCCCCCCCCCCCCTTTGGGCATTTTTAGATGCAAAAAAGGTCTCTTGAACTGAGAGTTAAGTCAGATATTTTGCCTTTTTAAAATCACTACTGTGCACCCCCACCCAAGGTTATATCTTCTGCAGCTCTTGAGGGATTAAAAACAATAGTAATAATAATAAAGCAATTACAAGAAAGATGCTAACCCTTGTTATGAGAACTCTAATTAGTTCCTATCTTTTTTCAATGCAGGGTCCTCCTGGTATAGGAGGACTGCCTGGAGAAGTGGGAAGAGTTGGGCCACCTGTGAGTACTTTGTTTCATATTCCATTAAATCATTGATTAATATTTGCCTGCTAGTTAAATGTTTGTACCATCTTTTTAGAAAGGATGTCCCTCAGAAATGACTGACACATTGATCACTTACAAACACACCTATAAGTGCTTAAACACACTAAAATTATCACATGGATCTACCATTTAGGTCTCTCTTTGACAAATTATTTCAGCTGTGAATATGTACTAGTTGTCCCCAACTTGGTAATTTTCAGACATTTAGCTGTGGCCAGAATTTCCAACCAGCACAGAGGTCACAGACTGGGGAAACCCACTATAGGCATGGATCTCTGCAATAGGATGTCACCAATATTATTGCAATGTCTAAGGGTAGATTTATACTTTCTGTTTAGCCCATTAGTCCTCTGTGGACTAAACAGACCCTTGGTTTAAGCCTACACAGCTCTTGTTATGTTTGTTATATTCTACTTAATTACATTAGAAGCTCTTCCTAATTCCTATAAGTAGCATTTTTTGGAAGTCCGCTGAATACAGAGTTGGTTAGATTGGTTAGCATTCTCTCAAGTGGTGGAGTCCCATGTGGGAATATTACTTTACAAATTACTTTACAAATAGTCATTCCTATGACTGCTCATATGGATAACATATATTAACAAATCATATGATAAAACATTATCATTCCAACTGATGCAGATTAAAAAATGAGTCTAATTAAGTTCAGCTTTCCCCCCCCCCCAAATAACAAATGCATGTACAAATGATGTATAATATTTATTTATTGGGGACTGCAGTAAATGAAGTCTTCCAAAGCTCCATAAATTAATCTGCCCATTCTGAAATGTCCATTTCTTTTGAATAATTGATTTTCCTGTCTTTATCTATGCACTTCAATAATTAAAGGTGCGTATTTTAAGAGAGTTCACGTAGGAATCCATTTGTATGTGATCAACTTTCTACATCACTTGAGAGGTAAAAGAAATAAAAGGTATGAATGGTTTGAATCTCTTTTTCTCCTGTCATTTACAGCTCTTTTCTAATTCTGTGCCATCAGAATTTTTCTTATCCTTGAACATTTTGGGTTGTTGATGTATCCAGTGTAGGGTTTATTTGGTTTGCTTTATCCTTTCTTGTAAGAGGCTTGGATATATATTTTGAATCTTGTTTTTATGCTCTTCTGGCACTGTTTAGGGTGATCCTGGAAAGAGAGGCCCCCCAGGAGTGCCAGGACCTCCAGGTCCAAGGGTAAGTTTGCAGTATTAATACTGAAGATATTAAAATGAGAAGTGTCTCAAAGTATGTCCTCCTTCCCCAGTTCATTCAAAGCATCCTTCCAGCTGGAAGGCTGTTTGAACAATTTGTGCAATATTCTCAAAGAGGGGATTTCAAATATTTTTGGCTGTGGAATTTCTTGGTAAAAATAACATTCCAGGAACCCTTGATCAAGAGCCAAAGCAGTGAGTTGTCATGACCACAAATGCCCCTGGAAGCGGGGGGGGGGGCAGACTTCTGAATGGCAGTTAACAAGCCCCACCCTTTCTTCAGTACTTTGATTGCCATAGACACCCTGGCTGTGCTTTTTTATTTTTTTCTCCGTTAGACTTTCACAGAACTCCATTACATTTTTGCAGAACTCTAGTGCTCCACAGTTGGAGAAATTCTATTCTAGTCAGCATAAGGGATGCACCAAGCTTTGCATAGCATGTCAAGTGTTCCATTCCCAAAGTGGGTAGGGTCAGGATTCATTGGGGAGACAATACCACAGTTTTAAGCCCCTATAAGTCTTAATGAAATGATGTCTGCCTTTTCACTACCCCAAATGGGAGAAAATGAGAAAAGCTTCAAAATTATGGCCCATCTGTGGTGGATTGCAGCAGAGAGCAAGACTATCAAGAAGGAGGGGGTGCATTTCAGGAGGGGAAAAGAGACAAAAGGCAACACAGTCTGGAGCTGGGGTGTGGGAAGTGTAAAAGCTTCAGGATAGCCACTCCCTAGAATCTCCCAGGGTATATCCACTAGTTGCAGTAGTATAGATTTAGTCTGGCAAGATTCTGTCTTTAAGTGTAAGCAAATAAAGGAACTGAACTCAACTGGACTGTTTCACCATTGTTGTTGGGTTGGGCCTGACACCATCCATGCCAATGGATGGTGGTAGGCAGGCCACAAAAAATGCTTCCTGAGCCCTCTGAACCACACCCTTTGTGCCCTATTTTAGATACATTTTGCTGTGGCATTCCTTAAAAGGTGTCAGTTGATCTAATACAGTACTAATTCATACCTTCTGAATAGAAGGGCACATGTATGAAGGCTGCCCATGTTCAGAGTTGGTCCCATTTGTGTAGAAAGAAGACAAAAAGCCAGGAATCTGCTTCTTCTATATAGCAGAGGCCCAGTATGAATGGAAAATGCATCCCTGAGTTGAAAAGATTCCAAAGGCACAGTCTAATTATATAATTAGGAAAGAGGTCCTACATTTTTCAGTGTTGGATCTGTCTGTGAATGTAGATCTGTCCTCTGCTGGTGGTAGAAGGCATACTTTGCCCTCACAAAAGGCTCCTTTACTGCATTTATAGATCTGTTTGTCGCATCAGCCTTATTAAT